CTTCTGAACCGGATGGTGAAGGGGAAGATGCATCCACCCACGAGCAGCTCCCCAGATGCCTCGATACCCAGATTTTCTATGCACCTCCTGGTCTCAACCAGGCTCTGAAGGTTTCTGAGTCGGCCTGAGCTGCCACACTGGAGCTGGTTGGAGAAGAAGCACCCAGAGTCAAAGGCATTGCTGCAGGAGTTCATTGTTGGTTGATGCTGGTGAGCCTGAAACACACACCCAGAAAGGAGATTTATGAGCTGCTAAGGGCAGGAGAAAAGGCTTGATGAAAGTGCAACTTGCTCCCTCCTGTACATCATTTTCATCCTCTTAATCATCTCCTGTATTTTTCTAATCTCCTGAATCCCAAACAAGTTTATTGGTATTTTCCCCCTCAACTTTAAAAAACTGATGATTGTCCATAGAAAATCAGGTTTTCTACCAACTGAGAACTGAACTTTCCTATCCTAGAAAACGCATAATTGTACAAAATTCAATCATATAACTCAGAGCAGAAAATCACTTATGACTTCCAAATTGTGGTGCCAAACTCCAGTCTTTCTGTGCTTTAAAGCCTAATATTGAATAAGCACAGGGAACCTTTTAGCAAAGGAATTCCTTGAGATTGAAGAGGATTTTGGATTTGAGATTAGCCTCAAAATGACAACAGAATATCTGGATCTCTACCTAGACACAGATTCGGTACGTTAGGCATATACAGACTCAAGTGGACCCAGCAGTGCCTGTTATACACACACATCCACATGCACACAATCAGCCAGAGAAAGACACAGACAGGAGAGTAGAGTCAGTATTGACTTACCAAGTGCACCGAGAGGAGAGAGGAGAGGAGAGGAGCGAATGGAGTGTCGGAGTCGGAGGTCTGTATATATACACCTTTTCCAGCGTCAGAGTTATACAACATCTCTCGTCAGACACTTCGTTCCCTCAGTTGACCCAACTGGAGGCTTTCATTTTCGTGTTTTCCATGCTTGGCATTATGGGACCTGCTCAATATCTCCAGAGTTTCCTTAATATTAAAGCTCAGCACATATATGTAGTAAAATTGGATGGAATTCCTTGTGGTTGGATCAATGGGAAGAACCTGGGGAGATATTTTGGTTGCGCAGTTGCCTTGTAAGTGCTTCGCTGTGATTGGCTTCACTGTGATGTCTGCGATGCAACACGCAGGGGACGAAAGGAATTGGCATTGCTTTGGTGTGCCGAAGCTTTGCAGAGCTTCTGCTTGCTTTTTCATGACTCCCCCTGGATATTGGTGGGGATTTCTCACCAGCAGCTTTGCTGGATCTCTGTCTCAGGTCCAACAACAAGAAATTTGAAGGCATTTTTCAACCGTTTTATGAACGTTCCCAAAAATTCCTTCCCATTTTACAAGATTTTTTTTTTTGGCTAGTATTTGCCTTTCATAAAACTTACAAAACATCTCCTTAATTTGCCTTAGAAAGAAGATGCCTTGATGTGTTTTCCAAGTGACCGTCTTATTAAATCTGGAGGTCTCAGACTATTAATATTTAAATCCCACAGCACTTTGCAAATTGAAAACATTAATGAGTGTTTATGAAGTGCTTTGGTATTCAGTATTCCGAGGAAGCTTCATCATCCTGTTTGCTCATTATTGCCCTTATTTCATATTCAAATTCAGGCCAGGAATTAGGTAGAGGTCAGACAAGGTTCTTGCCAAACTCCAGCGTTCCTCACTGTCACGGTGCATTTGATGGACATGGTGGATCCTTTGTGGAGTAAATGTTAATGTGGTTCCTCAGAAAAGAGTGTTCAATGCTGTTTTAATGCTAGTCCTTATCATTTATTTATTGCCAGACCAAGTTCATACTTGCACTCTCCACGTTGCTCTGCTGAGCTCGCAGTCAAGCCCTCTAGTGAGTGAGACTGCGAACGACACTGTCGTGTCCAAGTTGAAAACATCCTTTCTGCTCGTGCAACATCAGGAATTCAATTCCTGAACGACTGAGAGTCATTGAATGCAGATTTATTTACAGTCCAGCTCTTCTTTCCTGGAGTTGCTGAAGTTTAACCAAAGATCTCTACATCTATTCCCATTTCCTTTCAACAAAAAGGCTGTGCCATGGTGCATCAGAGTTTCTAGGGAGCAACAAACATGTGGGAAGGTCTTCTTTTTTTCCCTAAAAAAATTTCTCCCCAATGCCTTTGAGAAATTAGAACTGACATTTGTATGATATAAAATAAACTTCAGCTTTGACGGCAAAGGCAATAAAATGGTATCAGGAATGTGGTTGGCCCAGAACATTTTAAGATGAAAGAAACCTGTGATATGTGTGACCTGTGGGAGGCTGAGAACACACTAATAATCCCAAACAATGAAGAAAATTATATTAATTGAAGATATGACGTGTACAGGCAAATTTGTTTTCCACCCAATAAGGCTACAAAGCTTTTGAATACTCAAGGGCGTCCTAGATAAGCTGCAAGGACAAAGGAGGAGTATAAAAAGGGCTCAGAGCTCAAGGCTCCTCATCAGCTCACTTGCCTTCCTCCTCCCAGTGACCTCGGTAAGCTTCTTCTCCTTTCTTCTTGAGGATTAGAAATGTTGCTTTAAGAACTTCTGTTGGGTTTGTGGACTCTCTGAAACTTAGAATTTCTCTGTGTGTTGGGTCTGTGCTTCCTGCACTGCAGGAACTGGTGGGTTTGTGTCTTGAAGCTGGGGCTGAAACTTTCCTGGTCCTGTTGGTACCTGTTGGTACCTCCCTGATCAGGGATTACTAGATCAGTAGAAGTAGACAAGGGTTTTCTCACTGTGACCCTCAGTGGGTTCTTCCATAGATCTTAAGTGAGATTCAGTTTCAGAGTGAGATCTTCAGGTGTGTTTGGCAGGAGAGATGTTCTCGTGTGTTAATGCTCTGTAGCTTCTTGTCCGTGCTGGCAGCATTTCCAGGTGTAAATTAAAATGGGTGGAAGTCACTGAAATGGGACTTGGAGCAATGGACCCAAAAGCTAAGTGTGTTCTTATGGCAAACATCACTTCAAGCTTTCTAGAAGACTTTCCTGATGGAGCTGGGAAGGTAGAGCTCCATGCAAAGCTGATACCGTCATAGATATTTAGGATTGTTAACTCATCACAATATTCTCTAAGAAAACTCCTGAAATAGCAGCAAGGAAGTTTTGATCTGTAACTGGTGATCCCATGGCCAAGGCCTTCACTGATTGCAGGAAGTGAGACAATAAAGGAATAGTTTCAGGACAGTGGATAAATGAGGAAACTAGACAAATGAGATGTAATGAGGAGCTGAGGAATCTGGTCATAATTTTACATCTGCAATTGATCTCCTGGGGCCAGTGAGCTCTGAGATTGTTGCTGCTACTGAGAGTATTTGTTGCTCATCTTTCCTCCCTGCTGCTACGTTTCAGATTTACCTCCATCGCAGAAAGATGACTTTCCTCCAGGGCCAGTGTGAGGATGACTGCTACTCTTCCTGCAACTATGGGAGCCTCTATGGCTACCGGGGCTACGACTGTGGCAGCCCATGTGGCTACCGTGGCTACGGAGGCCTCTACGGCTACCGTGGCCTCTACGGCTGCGGTGACCGCTACGGCTATGGTGGTCTCTACGGTTACCGGGGCTCCTATGGCTCTGGGGACTGCTATGGCTATGGGGGTCTCTATGGTGGCTATAGGGGCTCCTATGGCTCTGGGGACTGCTATGGATACCCAGGATTTTATTCTGGCCGCTACGGTTACCCCTTCGGTTCACGCTACGGCCAGAGGTACGGCTACGGTGGCTGCTACACCTGCTAAACCCAGTGGGAACACCTTGAAATGAAGATCAGCCCAGGCCTGGCAAGCACAGATTGATGGTGAATCTTGGCAGCAGTGGTCCCTGATCTGCAGAGCCCTGGTGACAGCAACCACCCTCTGCGGAGGCTTGGAGTGCTCTGCGCTGCTGTTGAAGTGCTTGCGATGATTTGTCTTCGTTCTCGTCTGTGTATGCTTGAGCTGTTGCTGTCTGAACTCTCCTCTTGGCCTAAAGCTTGAGTCTTCTTGATTCTGCAGATAATGTGAACCAGCTTGGATGGTTTGCAGTGGTGTGTGAAACTTGAACTCTGGATGGATGGTGTAGGCAGGGTGTAATGTGTCTCTGGGAATGTAGTTGTTCTGTTCTGTATCCCTTTCTGTGTATCTGTCTTTCACTCATATTAAAAACTATTCTGCATCAATACTGCATTTCTGGTTTTCTCAAGTCCGACCTGCGACCCATCTCCACCTTGTCAACTAGCCCAGAGCACTGAGTGCCACATCCATTCATTCCTTAAACACCTCCCGGGGTGGTGACTCCACCACCTTCCTATTCAGCCCTTCCAATGCCTGACAGCCCTTTCCAGGATGAAATTCCTCCTGATGTCCAACCTGACCCTCCCCTGGCACAGCTTGAGGCCACTTCCTCTCATCCTGTTGTTGCCTGGGAGAAGAGGCCAACCCTGACCTGGCTGCACCTCCTGTCTGGGAGGTGTAGAGTGTGAGAAGGTCACCTCTGAGCTCCCTTTCTCCAGGCTGAGCCTCCTCAGCTTCCTCAGCTGCTCCTCATATGTCTGACCCTCCAGCCCCTTCCCCAGCTCCGTTCCCTTCTCTGGACACACTCCAGCCCCTCAATATCTCTCTTGTACTTAGGGGCCCAGAACTGGACACAGGACTTCATCTACAAGGACTTTGCCACCTCTAGGGACAGAAATTCCCTTCAGGATGCCATTACTCTTGGGATGTTCATGTAAACTAGGGACTAGGAAAGGAAATGACTGGATCTCCAGGATTGTTTTTTTTTAAATGCTGAAAGAATTTAATGCAATAAGAAACAGAGTTGGCACAGATACAGAAAGATTATAGTTTTGGGATACTGAAAGGAGCTACAGAAGATGAGTCACTGCAGTACAGAGCATTCCTTTTTTGTTTAAGCCATGTTGCTCTCCCTTCGGGTACTTGTAAATCCAGATCAAAGGCGAGACAGATGTAATGCCTCTCCATTACACAGCACTGCAGCACCTTACTGGAAGTAGCTATTGAAAACACAGATGACACAAGATCTAATTTTGCAGAAGTCCTTTGGCACCGTCACAGCAACTGGAAGGAGCTTCACACAAATTGCAGGTCGTCGTTCCCATCGCTGAAGGGTGTGCTAGGTAGTCTAAAGGCAGGAGGGTATCAGAGAGAACTCAGAGCTGAGAAAGGAAGAGGAAGAAGCAGACAGAAAGAACAACAAAACTACAGATGCCAAGAAACTTCAGGGCTCAGCCAAACTCCTCATTTTCAGGAACTTCAGTCTGGGTCGTGGGGGCTCAGCACTTCTGTAGACATCACCTCTGGGATCAGCCTCCCGTCCCTGCCTGGCGGCTCGGGGTTTGGTCGGACTGCAGGGGTGTTGCCACTGGGTTTAGCAGCATGGGGAGCAGCACCCGTAGCTGTAGCTGCAGCAGGAAGGGTAGTAGTAGCGGGTGGAGCAAGACCTGTAGTTGCAGCAGTCTCCACAGCCGTAGTTGCGCCGGTAGCAGCGCAGGGTCCTGTAGCTGCAGGGGCTGCAGCAGCTGTAGGTCCGGGAGCAGCGCACGCTCCTGTAGCAGGGGGAGCAGCACACGGTGTAGCAGGGGTAGCAGGGGTAGCAGGAGTAGCAGCAGCAAGACATCTTGGT